GATTGCTTATGGGAAAAATCGAAGTTCAAACTTCAAAGATGATTGGTTGTGGGACAGTTTGGAATTAATGTGTTGTTGACTTTCTTGGCAAGGATGCGTGGCCTAATAATGCATGCACCATGTATAGCTTTATACTCTGACCATGTTAATGTACTGTAGAGTAATGATTGTTTGTTTGGACTAGGTATTATGAGGAAATTTTAGTTCAAAACACCTTTAATTAAAAAACAGCCCGCTCCAAAGTGATGATTGTTTGTTTGGACTAGGTATTATGAGGAAATTTTAGTTCAAAACACCTTTAATTAAAAAACAGCCTGCTCCAACTTAATAGTATGAATCCGAGTTAGGGTGTTCACTTTTTGTAAATGTATGGTTTTGAGTTTCACAAGTTCCTTTTTTTTTTCCCATAGTTAACTAATATATCTGTATCTAATTTCAACCTGTTCAAAAAAAATTTAAATGTTGTTAAAAGCAGACAACTACTCCACTTCACAGAATATCCTAATTGGTGTCTGAAACTCCCCTGATTATCTTCTTTTTACAAATCATTTTTGATAACACACTGCATATGTGCAGAAATGGAAATTAGCCAACTTTCAAGGAGTGCTGCCAAAATTAAAGCATTTTGTAAGTTACATACTCTTTCCTATTCCTATAAACAATGGCCTCTTTTCCATTTCAAATGTCTGGTGTTGAGTTTTTGAATATCAAAAAGAATATAAAATAGTTTAGCTTTCCTTTTCAAATGTTCATAATATCACTGACAAACATGAAGCTGAGACCATGAAAAAAAGTTTTTACTAATCAGTTACTTTTTATAGTTTCGATTTTTCCAGTGGTACTGCATTCCAATCCTTTGTAGGAATCCTTTGTCCTTGAGTTTGTGCCATTCATTTTCAGATGGGAAGGTAATGTGCAAAGAAGAAACCTGAGACTGCAAAATTTTAACAAGTTAGAAAGGGTTAGCAACATCTTGCCATTCAAAATGCAATAGCTAAAATCTTGATGGTAGGGTCTGCTATAAAAAAGAAAAGTTTGAACTGCAATGAGATAAATGGCAATCTGCAAAATGGAAGGGGCAGGGAAATTTAATTCATCAAATTCATATATGCTCAGCGTTCATGTGAGGAGGAGCTTTAAGAATAAAATGTAAAAACAAGCAGATAAGGTAAGGAATAATTTGAGTTGCAATTATGGGAAAACGGAATCACATCCTTAAAGCAAAGGATTATATTATCCATGCAATACCTTGGCTGCCAGATCCTTGAGAGCAGAGACCATAATGTCAAAAACTTGATCTTTAAAACAAGTATTGCGGATTAAGATCCTTGGACCGGTAACAGGAGTGAAAGGCACACAGCATTGAAGTTTCGGATAGTATCTTGATCCAAGACTGTAGTAGGCATCAGCCCAGGAATGATCGAAAACAAATTCACCATAGGAGTGGCTACACACCCAAATTGAAACCAATAGATTAGAAAATAGGAAATTTCTGAAAAAAATAAATAAATAAATAAGAAGAAGAAGAAGAAGAAGAAGAAGAGAGCATAGCAGATGGTAAACCTCTTAAGATAGAGTGGAACAACAGCTAAAATATTTTGAGATTCATCCTTAGCAACAATATGGCAGGGCTTCTATCCAGTTTCCTGAAAAGTCAATTCAAAGTGAGAATTTTTACATGGAGTGGTACTAATAAAAAGAAAGAAAGAAAGAAAGAAAGAAGTGGTGCAGTGGGAGTGTGATTATTAACCAACCTGGACAGCGCAACCAGTCTGTTCTAAACTTGAAAGAAAGGCATGGGTAAGAAAAGGATTAAAGTTTTGAGCA